TTGGTTAATTGGGCCTGATCCTAATCTTATAACAGTTTAAATGAGGATCAACTACAGTAGCTTCACTGAAGTGGGAAAGGGGTAGGTTTAGAAGTGGGAAGGGGGTAAGTTTAGAAGATAAAATAAAAAAAGAACATGTTAAAAATCACGTAGAAAAGTTAGATGTCTGCAAGTCACCAGAGCCTGATGAAATGCATCCCAAAATATTCAAGGAGCTGATTAGAGGAGGTATCTGAGCCTTTAGCTATCACCTCTGAAAAATCATGGAAGATGGGAGAGATTCCAGAAGACTGGAAAAGGGCAAACTTAGTGCCCATCTATAAAAAGGGAAATAAGAACAATCCAGGGAAATATAGACCAGTCAGTTTAACTTAAGTGCCAGGAAAGATAATGGAGCAAGTAATTAAGGAATTCATCTGCAAACATCTGGAAGATAAGAAGATGATAGGAAACAGCCAACATGGATTTGTAAAGAACAAATTACAGGCAGTCCCCGGGTTACATGGATCCGACTTACATCGGATCCCTACTTACAAACGGGGTGAGACAACCCCGCACTAGCTGCTTCCCCTCAGCAGACCAGGGAGACGCGAAGCTAGCGCTCCCCTCAGCAGACCAGGGAGACGTGGAGCGGCTTTTCTCAGCAGGCACCTCAGCTTGAGAATAAAGGACTGAGGGAAGTGAGGTGTGGGAGAATAAAACTGAGCTCTGGAGAAATGTTTGGCTAGTTTCCCCCCTACCATATGTACCAGTTCCAACTTACATACAAATTCAACTTAAGAACAAACCGACAGTCCCTATCTTGTACGTAACCCGGGGACTGCCTGTAAAGTGCTGTCATATGGGTAGAAATTGGGTAAGTATTGCATTTTAATTAATATCAACAGAACTGACTTAAATGGAGCCTGTGTGTTGTGTAGTCTTGCCTTAATCTTTGCAGTCATGCCTGTCAGTGTGAAAGAAACTAACTGCATATATATTTGCACGTATATGCAACCACACTTAAGTTGCAGCCCTTGGCATGTACTGGGAATATCATGGTGGCGCCCGGGGCTTCCAAAGTTGAGTATGACCAGGGCAGCGGGTACTATGTGGAATTCCATGTGGCAGTCTAGAGTCAGGGATAGTACCAGTTCTGGACTCTTCGCTATGGGTGAGTGAGACTCATACAATGCATGGTCCTTTTGAAGAGGGGTGAATTTCATCACAAAATTATTTCCAACTATTTAAAACATTATTAACTGTCTCTTTTTTGGACCTCTGCTCCAAAGTGTTCCTGTGCTACAGTGTTTGAGATTAGATTTAAAGAGTTCCTTGCTTTAAAAAATACCATTTAGCAGTGTGCTATGCTTTTAGTTTGCAAAATAAAAATAAGATGCCTCCACTTACATTTTTCTTTCTCATCTAGATGGTTGACAGCATCACCGTGTCCCCCTTCCATGAACTCCTCTAATTGCATGAGCAGATCTTCTCTTTTAATGGATTTGATCATGACCTGGAGAAAATCTACCTTTTCTCTTGCAATCTCCCGTTGATCCAGGAGAATGGTGAAGAGATCATTGCCAGTTTTGACAGACTCAAGCTTCCTTTTGCCAATTTTGTCCCGGCACAGAAATTTAAGGGCAGAGAGCTCAGTGTCCGATAAGTTCATGGAAAACGAATGCAGCAGAGACAAAAACGGATCCATTTTGGTAAGACCTTTGAAAGAATATCAAGGAAAAAAAAATGTATAAAAAAAGCATTCAGGAAGTCTTAAAAATGGTCTGCTTTCTATGTACCCAAGAAACATCTTTTTAAAATAAATAGAACTTTATTTCATTAAAGAGACAAGTTCTTAAAAACCAAAGTAAAGCTCCTTGGTATGATTACTGCCCTGGATGGCGATTAACAAACATTTTGTACTTTCACTTTCACAATGCACTGTCCTTAACAGTATCTATAATCTTACACTTTCCAATGTTTGGAACAAAATTCAATGTACTTTCTCTTGAAAACCAAATTGTTGTTTTGAATAATATGTAAAGATACGTTTTATTTCAGAAGAGTTGCTACTTACTTCCTGGTTTAATCTATGCTGCCCTCGCCCCAAAAGCCTAGCTGCAAAGAAGAAAAACTTCTCTGTGCTGAACTTTATCTTTACACAGATCTGCTAGTCACCGGAAATCACATGAACGAGTGATGCAAGCATTTCTGCCTCAGGGACTGTTCTATTTTCCAGTGAACAGTAGATGGCAATACTACACAGTTAACTATTATCTACCTGGCCCAAGAAAGCTCATCATCTAATAAACCATCTTGTTAGTCTTTAAAGTGCTACATAGTCCTGTATTTTGTTTCAGCTACACCAGACTAACACAGCTACATTTCTATCACTATTCTCTACCTATAGACACACATACCTTTAATACTAGTACTATTGAATAAAGACATAAAAATCTTTTTATGATGTACAAGCAATATAAGTGACAAGCCCAACACTGCTAATTCCACAGATGTTTGCACCACTACATGCTAAGTAGAGCTGAGAGAAAGTAAGACCAAAATAATTCCTTATATCATTTTGAGGTTTCCAATCTCAGGAACTATAAATAATAAAAGCCCTACTTTACAGTGACACATTAATCAACTTCCTTTTGTAAAAAAAAAAAAGAATCTTAAATTTAGCTTGCGCAATTTTACTCTTTCACGAAACTACTACTACAGGGGAAAAAAAGATTAATAAAAGCCAATATACAATGGGTTAAATTTAAAAACAGTAATTTCCTGACACTGATTTTGGAACCTTAAAATGAATGGAAAGTGCCACTGCCAGAAATTTTTGCTTGCCTGCCCTTCCCCTTTTTCATGAAATCTTGTAGGAATTCACTCTGCTGGTTTCAACTCCTTTCTTAGTAACTAACCCTAAATTGCAATCTAGTTCTTTAACTAGGGCTTATTATTTGGCAAAGTTATCTTACATTGATTTAACTTAAATTTACAATCACAGCAAGGCAAGAAGAAAACCAGGGAATAAACTCTCTCTCTCCTCTTGTGAGGATTTTTAATTATAATAAATACATTAAAAGATTAGGATGGCAGCATATTTTACTAAATGTGAGCAGGATAGGGTAAGACTGATGGGTGTTGAGGACTGTGTAGGACGTAATATGATGCTGGATCAGAGGTACAGGTTGGGTCAGAGTAGTGGGAAGAGCCTTCAGGATGGAAGGAAAACAACTACTAA